AGGGAGAAATCAGGGCTGCGGACGCCATGCAGCTACCTCGAAATCCCCGAAAAATGCTGAATAACTGGAAAGCTCTCACTCGGCCCCTCGGGCACCTAGATCTACACACAAGGTGCAGGGAGTAACGTGAGTACGCCAACTCAGTAAGTAACTAAAGTAAATAAGTACTGAAAGCAGTGACGAGCAGTTCAAAAACGTATAACTTTAAAATCAGTTCTGTCATATAAATCATTATTTCCAATTTAAAACATTGAAATCAATTATTTAGCAATATATTCATCAGATGCTTATCAAAAAGAAGAGTGAAAAAGTAGAAACGTCATAATAGGGCCCCTCGGGCAAAGAATCACTCAGAATATGGCCTCTCGGGCAGCCTCTTAGTCACTCGTGACTCAACTCTCGTCACTCAGTACTCACTCTCAGCACTCGGCTCATTTATATCTCATAATGATAGAAATCATAGTGACCGCTGCAGCGTGCAGCCCGATCCATATATTTATAGTCGACTACGCTCACTGGAGGTGTGCAGACTCCGGAGGGGCTCCTACAGTATATATATTTATAGTCGACTACGCTCACTGGAGGTGTGCAGACTCCGGAGGGGCTCCTACAGTATATATATTTATAGTCGACTACGCTCNATTACTAATGTGCCAATAGGCACTGAAAGCCCGGATAGGATAAATATTACCTTAGTGTGACTCTCGTCCCTAGTAGAGCGAGGACGTTGAGCGACCCGAAGAGCCGATGAATGAAACAAGGAGAGCAAAAAGCGAAAGAATATCTGTATTGAAGTTTTCACAAGAAAAGGGATATGCAGAAATATTAGCAGAGTAATGAGAAGAGAGATAAGGAAGCATTATGAATAAGGTGTGATACATGGATAAAAACGGTAGAGTGTTACAGAACCTATAGTCAAATGAAGGAAGAGACGAAAGGTGATGGGCCTTATGACAACGAAAGAGTATAGGCCATAGGGTTATATCCTCATTTCGTGAATTATGTTCCTGACTCCAACGCGACTACCAGAGGGGAGAGTTAATCCCCAAAGTAACAGAAATCAGTGTGGACTGGTAAACAAGATAAACTAAATATGAATTAGGGACTGAGTGATTTAATAGTCAGCATCATGAGAATTTCAGATCGCGTACCAGCAATAATAGGGCGGACAACAGAAGAAGATTCATGAGAAATTCAGAGAATGGTCATTCAGGAAGACGCCTCCCTAAAGCAAGCAATGTTAGAAAAGTTAAGCTTAAAGGACTGTATGTACCAGTTACATTAAGTGTCACCCTCGCGAGTAAGGGAATTTGTCATCCTTGGTACAGAAGGATTGCCGCAAGACGAGTAAGGGTCATTGATGTTGAGAAACGACGCCAAAGATTAAGAGGTAAAACATCTATAGGATGGTCTTCATAGCTCAAACTCTTAGTACACCCCTAAAGGGGGAAATATGGAGTGATGCGAATGTGGTATTAAGTCAGAATTAAGTGGTTCTAGTGACTATGGAATGGTAAAGGAAGAATGCAATAAAAATGAGAAAGGGATGAGATTGCACTTATCCAAATGCTACATATATGCTACGATTCCAGAACGTTATGCAAACGCGACGTCAAGGAGAAGAACTAAGGGTTCCTGCCCAAGATGTTATTGATAATCCAGTGCGAGATGTAAGTTAAGACCAAGGAAATAACCCAAGAAATATTACGAGGAATATTGATATGAGAATGGGTCAACAAGTAGTTAGTAATTGGTCAGGAAGGTCCCAGTTATGGCTGAACAGGATATTACAGACGAGTCATCAGATCGTGTAAGATAAACATAGTAGAACCAAACATGGAGAATTCAGCCTCAAAGAATATCATTTATAATACTTGAGATATATTCAAACAAGAGTCGGGGTAGTTAAAGGTACTGTATGAGTATTACGGGGATAAAAAAAAGTGCCACTGGGAAGGCAGTCAAAATATCAGTTCAAAAGCAACCATACAAGCACAAGGGCATGGAAGTAAGCAACTACGGATGATTATAGGCAAGTAAGGACATTGAAAGGGTTCGTATTAAGCTCATAGCTTTACAAGATTCAAGGGTTCTCCCTAAGTACTACAACGAAAGACTAGCTGAGGAGATAAGAAAGAAGGCTTCAATCTAAGCACAACGACCTCAAGAGAAAATGGTCGTGTAACAACAGTCTCGCAACAATGTTGTAAGCACTCCAAAGGAAAGTGGCCCCTACCGTGGATAATGAACGGGAAAAAAAATAATAAGTAATATTCGAAGGTCATATGAGTTGCACGAAAACTCTAGCATGCGTGGGAACTAAGATAAGCTAAGTATGCGCGCAACGAGGGGGCAGAAAGATCGGGAAAGGTAATAGCTTACATTGAAGAAAGCTAAGAAGGAACGAAAGAAATTATTCGATCAATGATCCCGAGATGGTGACGTTATGAACGCACTTAAGAGTTTGGAATTTTATACCTGCATCATATGCAGCTGTAGAAGATTCTGGTATACGTAAAAAAAAAAGAATTGAGCCCAGGTCATAAATGAAGGATTGAATTGTTAAAGGATTTTATCGTAAATATCCCTCAGTGCCTATGAAAGGCTAAAGTAATAACTAATATTAGGAGCCACAGGACGGAAGATATCTTAAGCCCACATAGAGGCTGATCAGAAAGAAGAGGAGACTAAAAAGTTACATCGACTAAGCAAAACAAGAGGGACCAAGAGAATTATAGACCTCAGGATCACTCTTAAGTAGCAGAGGTATAAGAAAGATAGTATAGTAGCCATATTTTATAATAGCTCTATGATGAAGCCAACTAAAGAGTACCAGCCTCATAAGAAGTCAGTACGAAGCTCCCACCGGATTGTGTATGCACTAGAGGTGTAAGAATTATAATAGAGCTTCAAGTTATGGATGGGAATTACACCTAGGTGGAGGGGAGGTCAGGAAAGAGATAGAAGATACGATACGAGATTTTAAGTATGTAAGGTAAAAGTGAACAACGTACGAGCTACTAAAATGAAAAATAAGTTGTGAATAATCCATACTTCGGATAGAAGGTTATAAGCACGAAGATTCAATATCCAGGAATGATAGCGGCATCATTAGTGGCAGATCTTCCAGTCTATGGTTTCTACGTATCGAGAGGTGTAGTTAAAAGAGTATAGAAGAGTTAGAGACGATGTGCCGTCTCGCTTGATATTCCAGAATAACATAAGGAAATCTATAGTGCAAGCAAGTTAAAGGAAAGTTGCAGTAGTATAAATGGGTATGTGTATGTTGCAGGATAAAGTATGATAGAGCGACAAGGTTTTAGGAAGACAAGAGTAAGGATAAGAAAAGGCGAGTGAGAAGGTGACGAGAATATGTATGTCCTCGGGATTAAACCCATCAAAACAAGGGAGCTGATGATTTCCATATGTAATAAAAAAGCTCGGTACATCCTGAATGAACATAGAGGAGTCTAAGACTAGTAGCAGTTAGAAAAGATGGAATGCTGCCCTGGTAGTACAATGAAAGTGTAATTGTGATGGATAAAGGATGATGTTTAGGCCTTCAAGTGAGTAGTGATTTGAAGAGGATTTCATGGATTGTACGAAATTAAGATACCCCCATAAGGTGAATCACATTGAGACACTATGAAATACGATTATGGGAATCACTTCGAATATTCCTTGAGGTAACATAAGCCCTAGGGGAAAAATTATTACGTAAGGAGTTTCGAGTTATCAGTGGTATATCGTAGATCAATATTGAGGTCAATCAACAATAGACGGACAAAAGTCACAAAGTATGAAATGAGATTAGGTTATCATTCTAAAGATGAGCAGTGATGAGGGAGCATTAAAGGATATAAATTCATACATATGGAATAAGCAATGAGAGTAAGCTGGGATTTGGAAGCAGACCTCAGCAACGATAAATTAAAGTAAGAGTTATGGCATTAAATTCATACGGATGGCTAAACGGACCTATGCGATTAGATATAGCAATATTTGTGAATTCAACAAAGTACCAAGCAAAGAACTTCAGTATACTCATATATACCCAAAGGGACATCTTATCAAGCTCTAGTGAAGCCTAGAGATTGGGCTCACTTACAAGATCAAAACTATACAGGCTGCATGATGAAAGGTAGCAACAGTTACGAGATTGGAAGGATTCCAACTACAAGTTGTGGTGTGAGCAAAAAGACTAAAGGGGGGAATACCTAGACTTTGGATTTATTCATGGAACAACTGCTTAAACGGAAAGAAGAGTATTAAGGTATTCACAAGAGCTATAAGTTACGAAAAAGATATGAGCATTAGTCAACATTCGAGGACGAATGTTCCAAAGGGGGGAATGATGTTACGCCCCGCAATATTACGTCAATATTACGTCCCGCAGTATTACATTACGATTGATGTTACTACCTGCAGTATTAAGTTACGACAGTGCTGCACCCTGTAGTATTACATTACGGTGATGTTACGCTTCGCAGTAATAAGTTACGACGATGTTGCACCCTGCAGTATTTTACGTTGAATTTGTCGTAAGGTAATTGACATCAGTCCAAGGAAAAGATTATTTGGGGATTATAAGGATTATGCTATTTCAAAAATGATTAGTAAATTCGTGAAGGCAAGAGGGGAAGCAAGTCGAAGAAAATGAATTTCGTTGAAGTTTGGCATATTGGGATAATACGGGCCGAACGTTAATACCCTATATTTATGGACTAGTACCATACAAGCACCATGTGACCATGTTAGTAAGGTGTATAAGGTATGTAAAAAGTGAGAAATATTTTAAGTAAGTGGGAATAATTCTCAATTTTGAATTACCGGGTACTGGAACATTACCTAATTAATCCAAATATTTGGATAAGTATAAGTCCAAAACGTGGCAGCAAGGACGCTCATAGAATATGACTAATTGGTCATAAAGGATCAGTGGCATCTACGTGTATAAGTCTTAAATGACTAAAGACATGTACCAAGATATCAAGATTTGGTCTCTTTAATTATATCTCCAACTTGTAGTATTCTACCAACTGTCCGTACCAGAGTTTCATGCCATTTGATGTCAAGCTTTTTGTTCAACTTAATTCCATCGTCAATAAGTAAGATAACAATTCTTGCTTTGAAGCAAATAGAATCACTCGCCTCCAACCCAAAGCGTCGACGAGATTCTTCAACAGCATCCAAGGATAAGCTTGAGTCTTTAAGAGATGAATAAAACTTTAGAAAACAACCAAAACCAAGTTTTGCCTCCTCATTTCTTTCTTAATAACAGAATCTTAGTTCTCGTTCCAAGAAAAAAAAAGCTTCGCAAAGTTAGAAACAAATCCGTTAAAAAGTTTGAAGAATCAGAAACGTTTCTTCTTACAATTTCAAACCAAGAAACGTTATGTCCATTCTTCAGTTCAAAACGTTCAAAGCAGAACAAATACGCTCAGGTTTTCAAGGAATTCAAGTGTAATTTCGTTCATATTTCACAGAAGCTGATCCGTTCAAATATTTTCGGGAACAGGTATGTTAAGGCTAAACTCTGTCCTTCCTTTTAGCACGAATTCAGGGAAATTCCTAAGACGTCAAATGTGATATTTTACTATTCTATTGCTAGAAAGACCTTCTGTGAAAGGCATTGGGATCGTAGCTGAAGTATTTTCATGATGCTATTAGGTTGATATTCCACTCGTTCGGTTAAATAGCGTATTCGACATCTATATATGTCATTTGTTCGGCTTTCTTAACTATATGTCTATATATATGAATTCTTATTCGTATTTGGGTTGTGTGACTAGAAAATAAAGGCATTTAGTATTTGCGATCACTCCTTCTCCCTTGTTAAAGTGTATCTTAAAATCTCTAAAGTGACATGTCAATTTCCAAAAATCTCAAATATAATTTTTATATTTAAATTACTAAAGCACTTGATTTTTGAAATACTTTCTTTTACTAATTATCAATAAATCAGGTATAAGGACAAAGTGAAGTACCTTAAGCTTTTTATGAACATCTTCAGAGTTAAGTTGTCTTTCTAAAAGTCGAGTTAATTTTTCAAGCTTATTCAAATAATAAAATATGAGGTTCCACGAGACAATTGTATGCGATACGAAGGTGATTATGAGATTATGAGAATAAGAGTACCAATGAGCCAAGATTGGCTAAGTTCTTGTTATGGCCTATTATGTGCATTCAAAGTTCATATCATACATGGCATATTATGCATGGACTTCGAGCTATAATCGGAGGTAAGGGGCCTATTTGCCCGAAAGACTATATGTATTGTACAGATGGCCACAGGTTGGCAATATGATACCGGTCAGCTACCGGAAGAGACCGCCATTGCTAGCATTTGGTTGGGTATGTCATGCATTTGCATCAATATATATGTATTCACGACATCCGATTACACGAGCATACCATGCATATTTGATTACTATGAGGTCGGATGTCGGCCATAGAGGATATCAGAGTTTCAGTGTCAGGTGGTATCACTATTATTTTTTTCATCAGCTACATATGATTCTACTTTCTGCCTTACATACCAGTACATTTTTATTCGTACTGATGTCCCGTTGCCTGGGGACACTGCATTTTTGTTTCGTGCGTGCAGGTCCAGGTAGGGACTCTGATCGACCCCTCCGCTAGGATTTCGGGGTTCGGCTGTAAGTTGGTAAGCTCCACCTTTTCCTGGAGCTATCATAGGATGGTTACTTTTGTTGTACAGTTTGGGTATAGTCGGGGCCTTATCCCGATAGTGCTTATGACACTCTTAGAGGCTATTGTGGACATAGTATTCTGGGTTTCTTTTTTTCCAGCTTTCAGTCTCCAGCCCATAGGCTTGGCATGTGTATATATATGTGTAGGCATGTATGTCTCAAATTGCGACCTCGTCGGTCAGCTAGTACTTTATTATTTTAGCTCGTCTACCTTTGTTTATATGGCTTATTGTTATTCAGTTCATGACCTTAATTGTCCAGGCTTAGTATTTCAGATGTTGTGCTGCCCGATCTATTGGACCCCCAGTTTAGTTAGCTAATATGTTTAGTGGCTAACTCTATCAAATACAGTATCGAGTGCCAGTCGTGCCTCCCCTAGTTTGGGGCGTGACAGAATCCCTGCTGTACGAAGCATCCGCTGGCACTTATCCAAGAAACCCTGGGCATCCTCGCCCTCTGCACCACTGAATGACGGAAGCTGGAGCCTACCAAACCTCTCAAGTCGACGCTGCTCATCATCCGGCATAACTGGTACTACAAACTCCTGAGCTGGTGCAACCGGCTGGGCTGGAGGTGCCCCCGGTGTCTGTAGTCCCTGCACAACCTGATCAGGTGTGCGAGCAACGGGGGTCTGGATCCCTTCCCCGGTCTGTGAAGTAGCTGCGGCTGTAGTAGCTGAGACCGCCTGAGCCAAACCGGTACACACTGATAAGATCTGAGCTAAAGCCTCCTGAAGGCCTGGAATCACAATAGGCACAGCTGGTGCCTGAGCAGGTGCTGCTGTAGCGTCCACAACTGGGACCTAATCCGGAACTGGGGCAGCTGGTAGATCTGCAGGTGCTGCTCTAGCTGCCCTGCCCCTACCACGGCCTCGACCGCGACCTCGGCCTCTGGTGGCCGCAGCTGGTGGCACTGGTGGTCGTCCATCCTGCCCGGTAGCACGTGTCCTCACCATCTGTGAGAGAATGGAATAATAGAAGTTTAGTACTCGGATCAACAATTCGCACGACAAGAATTTCAAGAATATGAAGTTTTTCCTAAAGGTTCTGCAGCCTCTCGAGGATAAATACAGACGTCTCCGTACCGATCCGCGAGACTCTACTAAACCGGCTCATGACTCGCGAGACCTATGTAACCTAGGCTCTGATACCAACTTGTCACGACCCCAAATACCGGTCGTGATGGCGCCTATCACATTACTAGGCAAACCGACTGAACAATTAACCACAACCCTTTTTCTTAAACATTAAATCATTTCTACGCAGGTCTAAATACCATAGTTTTATAATAAGCGTGTAAAACAACAGATAAATATGCGAAAGTCAATAAAACATGAACTACACAGCCCCACAAATCTGGTGTCATGAGTCTAGAGCCTCTAATACAAGTCTCAACATCTACTACATCAATAGTCTAGGAAATGCGGAAAAGATAACAAGATAGAAGGGATAAATCAGGGCTGCGGACGCCATGCAGCTACCTCGAAATTCCTGACAAATGCTGAATAACTAGAAAGCTCTCACTCGGCCGCTGGGGCACCTGGATATGCACACAAGGTGCAGGGAGTAACGTGAGTACGCCAACTCAGTAAGTAACTAAAGTATATAAGTACTGAAAGCAGTGACGAGCAGTTCAAAAACGTATAACTTTAAAATCAGTTCCGTCATATAAATCATCATTTCCAATTTAAAACATTAACATCAGTTATTTAGCAATATATCCATCAGAGGCTTATTTAAAAGAAGAGTGAAACAGTAGAAACATCATAATAGGGCCCCTCGGGCAAAGAATCACTCAGAATATGGCCTCTCGGGTAGCCTCTCAGTCACTCGTGACTCAACTCTCGTCACTCAGTACTCACTCTCAGCACTTGGCTTATTTATATCTCATAATAATAGAAATCATAGTGACCGTTGTGGCGTGCAACCCGATCCATATATTTATAGTCGACTACGCTCACTGTGGGTGTGCAGACTCCGGAGGGGCTCCTACAGCCCAAGCGTCATATCGCTGTGGCGCGCAGCCCGATCCAACATATATATATATCGCTGCGGCGTGCAGCCCGATCCATATAAGTATCGCTGCGGCGTGCAGCCCGATCCATAGCTCACATATATATAATAATATCCTCACACTTAGGTCCTCGACCTCTCTCAGTCATTAACCTCACAGCCTCTCGGGCATAACAGTGAAAATGAGGGAACTCAGTCCAAATAATTCTCTCTTTTCAAAATGAACAGAATAAACCAGTTTTAGACATTTAACAGGTAAAATATGACTGATGATATGCTTTTAGCAAGTGAAGTGACGAAAACAGTCAAAATGCCCCTAAGGGTTTCTACAGGTCGGCACAAGGCCCCAAACATGGCATACAGCCCATAACACAGTATAAATATTCAAAATACGGGATAATATAATATTTCCAAACCAAACACGCGGCTTAATAGTCGCTACGGGACGGACCAAGTCACAATCCCCACTGGTGCACGCCCACATGCTCGTCACCTAGCATGTGCGTCACCGCGTTTATCAAAATAAGTCAAATACCGGGGTTTTTGTACCCTCAGTTCCAGATTTACAATGGTTACTTACCTCAAACCGGTGAAAATACTACTCCGCGATGCCTTTGCCCCTCGAATCGGCCTCCACTCGCGTCGAATCTATCCAAAATCACAACGAGGACGTTAAAGTATGCTAAGGGGACGAAGCCCAAGCGAAAACAATCAAAATAATACCAAAATTCCGAAATTAGAAAAACCCGAGCCCCGAGCCCACTTCTCAAAACTCAGAAATTTTCACACCAACGGATTCCTTATCTCCCCACGAGTTCGTACATATCAAGAATACCAAAATCGGAGTCCAAATGACCCCTCAAATTCTCATTTAAAGGCCTCTTAAACTCAAGCCCTAATCCTCCATTTTTAGCCCTTTAATCCTTTTAATTACAGCCTTAATTCATGAATTACTACCATAGAAATGTGTTTTTGGTCCTAAAATCCTTACCTTAACGAAGTCCCTTGATTTTTCTCTTCAGAATCGCCCAAAAATCTCCAAGGTCAAAGTCAAAAATGGTGAAATAAGCCAAACTCGCGAAATGAAGTAACATATATGTTCTGCCCAGGCCTTACCGCATCTGCGGTCCAAGACCCCGCTTCTGCGGTACCGCATTTGCGGCCAAACAACCGCTTCTGCGGTTTTTCACTTATAGCCCAAAAATCGCATCTGCGATAGAACTTCCGCATCTGCGGCTTCGCAGATGCGGCAATCTTGACCGCTTCTGCGGAAACTGCTCGCCAGCCCCAATTCCACATCTGCGGCTTCCTTCCTCGCACCTGCGGCATCGCACCTGCGGTCCTAATTCCGCAGGTGCGGAAATACCAGAAGCAGAAAATCTGCAGCTTTCACAAACATCCAATTTCCCCGTTAACCATCCGAAATCACCCCGAGGCCCCCGGGACCTCAACCAAAAGCTCCAACATATCCTAATACCTTATTCAAACTTGTTCCAATCACCAAAACACTTCACACAACACTAAATCAACCAAAACACATTGGATTCAAGCCTAAGTTTCTAAAAATCTTTTAAATTCCGCTTTTGATCAAAAACCCAACCAAACCACGTTCGAATAACCTGAAATTTTGCACACACATCCCAAATCTCATAACGAAGCTACTGCAACTCTCGGAATTCCATTCCGTCCCCTATATCAAAATCTCACCTACCAACCGGAAATCGCCAAAATATCAACTTCGCCAATTCAAGCCTAAATCTACTCCGGACCCCCAAAACCCATTCCGATCACACTTCTAAGCCATAAATCACCTCCCGAAGCTAACCGAACCATCGGAATTCATATCCGAGCCCTCTAACACATAAGTCAACATCTAGTTGACTTTTTCAACTTAAACTTCCTTAAAAGAGACAAAGTGTCTCAAACTTCACCAAAACCATTCCGGATTCAATCCAACCAACCCGATACCACAAAACACGGATAACAAAGCATAAAGAAATAGAAATGGGGGAAACGGAGCGGTAACTCATGAGACGACCGGCCGGATCGTCACATGTAGATAAAGGAGCAACAACGAGATGGCCAACTGCATAGGATAGTTAAAATCTTGATGTGGCTTCAGTTATTACTACTCCAAAATCTTCTCCAATTGCGTGCAACCAAAAGTGTCATTGGCACTATACCAATGCTCTGATACTAAAATTGTCATTGCCACTAAGACCAATGCTCTAATACCAAAAGTGTCAATCTTGATATGCCAATTTAGCCGTTTTTTTGCATACGAAGTTTGAAACAATGAGTTTTAATACTTCTCGCGGACTTCATCGTTCTTTTTTCCTTTTGTTGCTTTTTTTTTAATTCTCATTTGAGTAAGCAGACTTAAAATACTAGTATTACTATTTATGATTTAGAAATATGAATGTATTACTAAAAAAAAAATTTGCTTCACAAAATAATAGGATATAATTTTCTTGCTCTGCATATACATGTTAGCACTACTACAAAAAAGGCATATGGTGGCAATTATTTAGCGGCATTAAACTAATTGCTAGTAATTAAATCCATAAAGGCCAATATTAGCGGAAATTGAATAATTGCCCAGAATAAGCACTTTTTCTCGGCAATTAAAAAAATTGCCACTAAAAGTTTATGCCTTGTACAGAGCAGGACTTTTTTTGCCCTCCCTCAAAATTATTTTTCATTTCTCTCCTTAATATTGATAATCCAGTATTTCATTCTTTCATTCCCTTTTCATCGAGAATGAGGAATCAAAATCCAATGAAACCCTAACGCCCAAAATTCTAATTCCTACTCAATCATTACCCACTTATTCATCATCGACTTCATCTTCTTCCTAAAAATATTACTCGACAAAGATCCTTTATTTTTCCTATTAATTAATGAAGGAACATTAGTATGTCAACAGCTGCGGTTACAGATGCAAAGTAGATGATTGCTATATCAATGGGATTAGAAGGCTGTACACTGAACACGCAATTTTTTTGAAATTGAAGAAGCCAAGAGCTATGTCTCCGAGGTCATGGTCTCTTATAATCTTTTTTTGTTTTATGAATCTTGATAAATTGCAATTGTCAAACACTTTTTGGCATCACGTGCTTTGTGGAATGTTACTGATTTTCTGAAAAATTTATTTTTATTTGATTTTATAGTCATGTTCTTTTGGTTGTTGAATTCTTTGTGTTAGGAG